CATATTAATCTAACCTATTTTACACATTTTGTATTATCATTTTCCTAGTTAAATTATGCATGAGGTCTCAATGGGGAGAAATGTGACCATTAGCATATCTGATAGGAGTGGTGGAGCAGTTTTCCACCTCTCTGTCCTTGGAACCAGGCAGAAAAGCCTGACTGTTCATCAATACCAGGTCATTTTATCCAGGCCTGCCTAGTTCATCTATACCATTCCAAGGCTCTGCTAATGACACTTGGAGATGTCTTCAACGGGATGGGGGCCCAGAGGGCTTCGACACCGATGTGAATATAGTCTAGCACTGTCTGGTCATCTCTGGAAACCCTTTGACACAAACTGCAATTAGAAACACCTCAGACACACCAGTCTGAAACGAGACACTGTTAAGGACTGGGAGTGGACACAGCCAGGCGCTTCCTGAGTACATTTACATACGTTCTACTGTCTGCGCCTCTCAGAGAGGGAAAAAATGTCTTTGAGTTTGGTGACCTTTGGATGTGTCATTGGGTTCATTAGAAGAATCACATTGTTTTTACCGTGGAATAAAGGTCAGTAAAGTACAGCACAAAAACACAAATTAGTTGGAAAATGTTTTATCTTCTCAGTTGTTCGGTAAATTGGAAGCACGGCTTAGAGATCGTTCAAGAAGGGTTTTTTTAAGTTTGATGTTTTGTTATTATAGCTGTGTAAATCTCAGTTATTGTTACATAATGAAAAATGTCTCAACATGGTTGTTTAAACTAATGATGCGTGTTATTCTCAAACATTGGTAAATGAAGAAATAAATAAAACCAGCTCGGAACCAACTGACTAATATTAAATCAACTTTCAGTCAACCTTATTTTGGCAATACATAGCTAATATTATTTGATATTTAAATAAAATGAACCAACATGGACATATAGCATTGATTCACTGTGAAGACTGGAAGATAGCACTTTCTCCCTTTTCTCTGCGGGCCATTTAGATCACTAAGGCTAGCATTTGAAAAATACTTACCTTGTTATAGAAAGTTTAATGTCATATGCAATTGTTTGACCCTTATGAATATTAAAGGATCCCATCTCTGGCCTATTAAAAATGCATGTGGCATTGTGGTTGTTGATCACGTTTAGAACACCCATGCAAATTGGACTGTCTTCCTGTCAAGGCCTAAGATGAATAATGTAGTTGTGTTGTATATTCAGGGACACACCATTGACAGTCAATTAACAAGTTTGATTGGTGTGTGAACTCATTCTTTTGAACTGTTAATTTTATGTAAATAGTATTCGCTCTCCCTTCTCTGCTGTCTCTCTCCCATCCAGGTTCAACACAGAAATATGTTCCCCCACCACCACAAACCCCCCAGATCCCCAGTTTCACCTCCCACTAAGAGTAACCAGAGTGGGATCCTTAATAATTGATCATCACACACCTGCTTGGTACCAGCTATGGGAGTCTGCCTTTAACAGCCAAGGGACCCCATGCTAGACCCTTTTGATATTCAAATTGACAAATTGTAGCTGGCCTTTATGAATTTAGAAAGAAGTGAGGTCTTTTCATAGGGGATGAGCTTGTTAAAAGATTCTGGCCACCCATCCAACCTGATGGAGTTCTTCTTTGTTGGAGTGGATATGATGGCATTTGATGGCTCATAAATGGAACGCCAATGACAATTTGTTGTTGATGTGTGGGAATCTGGCTTTTATGTTAGCCAGTCACAGTAACGCTGGCTCTTGGGTAGATCATTGTAGCAGGTAAGTGATCCGGTGATTGATCCAAATGCTTGAAAGCACTGGAGGCCTTATCTCCCCTCTCTTTGCCCCCTCACTCGCTCACATTGCTTGCATTTGTCTTCTCTCCATCTCTTGTCACTGTTCCAGTAATTTGCAGCAGCAGAGATGGAAGCAAAAGATTCATCAGAGCTGAAAAGTGAGGCCAGGAGTTGTGATTCATGGAAGGCACATTTGATTATGGAAATAGCCATGATTGCATCTGACCTCTAAATGGCTATGTAGCATGTTGTCCTGTTAGTGTTTTAAATGGAATTTCTAAATGGTACACGGCCTGCTTCAGGTTTTCAAGATTAAATAAAGTGCCATCTGTGCGGACCAATTAGAAGTGAATCCTACAAGAAAAAGTTTAGTTTGAATTGCAGTGAGTGTGGAGGAGAAGAACTTTAGGGGTTGTCCAATCTCAAAGAGCCCTTCGTAGACAAATTACAGGTTCGTTTTTCATTAGGGATGTCTACTGTACTACACTAGCTGATTTACATGCTTCATCGTAAAAAAAAAACCTCTCTCCTGTGCTGCAGATGGCTGCAATGCAACTGCTCGTTCTTCAACAGTTCCTCAACATAATAGTAACACAGATTATTCTTTAAAACCCCAAACTAAAAGCTTCTTTGTCTGTGGGTTTGATCAAATTGACCTGTGAGACTTCATTTGAGATGTGTTTGGGCGGTGTGAGAGCATGAGACCAACCGTAAAAACATGTCTCGCTACCCAAAAGCATGTGAGCTGGCAACCGTCTGCACATGTGATGTAGATAACTAACAGAGGAAAAGCCTCGGCCACCAATCCAGCAGTTCAACAGTGTTTTCATTTGGAAGATAGTAACATAACACACTAAAGCAGCCACCGAAAGCGTGAAAGAAGACCTTTAAATATGGCTTTTAGTTCATGCTTACCCTGGTAATCTTGCAGTTAAATACATGACCCCCAAGTAGGTCTTTGCAAATTAGTAGAATACCTTGTCTTGGGCTGCTACTCCCTGGAGATCCGGATCCTTCAGAGTAATGCTATTTTCATCTTATCATCGGCATTTATTTGCATTGACCATCAGCCAGTGTCCAGCACTAATGCCATCCAGTCTCGAGCTCTGGTGAGCTACAAGGTCTCTAAAGACCTGACCTCCTTAATGCCGCTCCTCAGCCCTATTCGTCTCTCTGCATTAAACAGATAGATTTTTTTCAGGTTTCATTATGCAAGGAGCTTATTTCTAACAGAGGTATTAAAAGAAAATTGAGCTTATTAAGTTAATTATGCTTATAAATAACACTGGTGCCACTGAGATATATTGGCAGACCTCTCACTAAAAAACAGCTTGTTTAAGAACTGTGAAATGAGAATGGTTGGTGATAAGATGCTGAAAATGGGGGGGCATAACTTGTTAATTAATTCACTGCTAATCAAACATGCTTATAATTAATGTTAATCTGATTATAGCACCTTTTTCAGTATCGTACTTTTTTAGAGAAATAAAACAACTTTTTGAATTGGACTGATTGCACGTCTTAAACAGTGCTTATTTTTATGTTTCCATTGTCTCTGCTGGGATTTTGATTTTGAGATCATGAATCATAGTTGTGTTGTGGGTAGCACTAGCACCTCACAGCAATCGTGGGTTCAAATCCATCCCAGGGACCTCTATAGTCGTTGGGGCTCCACTAGTCATGAATTCTTGTTAGGATGAACCCATACTGCTTCGATAATGTTTAGATTCGGGGTCTGGGGAGGTCAATCCATGACTGATGTTGTTCCATTCTGTGTTTTCCTATCCACGTTCTTTGCGTGGATAGAAAAACAAACGCTTAAAAAAGAAGCTGTTGCCAATTAGATGCTTTCCAGATGTTGTACCTCTTTACTGACCTCCTCCATACATGTTGATGATAATTTCATCCGTCCACCCATCCATCCATGCAGGGTACACCATGTGCAGATTACCATTCTCTCACAGAGCTAATACAGAGAGACAGACAACCATTTATACTCTCATTCACACCTATGGACATGTAGTTAAACCCATTAACTGCCTTAGGTTTCATCGAGCAGTGACCTCTGGGTTTGCCAAGTGGTTTGAATGAGAACTAACAGGGACATGGTTCTCATCTGAAAAGGGTAAAGTGCCTTATTGAGTTTTGGGAAGAACCTCAAGTTGTGGAGTTCAATTGTCTTGGACACAAAGTGAATGGGGAGATGGATGATTTATCTCAATTTCTGCAATTGCTGTATCGTTTTGGAAAAAGAGAAGCGAGTCTGTATGTTAAGGCAGGGAATTTACTGGTCACTTTACATTCATTCTCTCTGCTAATAGTTAAAAAAAGGCTTCCTTAAAAGGGTGTCTATCACTGTTCTTCCATATGAAGGGGGTTCTGGCATCTAGGATGCCACCTGGACAGCATTTAGGTGAGGTGTTTTGGGCATGTTCAATCAAGAGGAGACTCAGACGATGGATCAAGGACACGCTGGATATTCTGAGATTATGTTTCTTGGCTGACTTAAGAACGCCACATTATCTCAGCAGAGGAGCTGGAGGCAGGGACCAGAGAAAAGTGCATTTCTACTTGGTTTGCTCCTCCATTACCTGGACCCAGATTAACTGTGCAAGATAGATGGATCCAGTGGATTGCTAGGTTAGACTATGGCAGGCATTGGCAACCTTCAGCTTCAAAAGAGCAGTTTTAGCTCCTCCTACCAAGCAGCAGGAGAAATTTTTAAATTTTTTGTCTTTTATTACAATTTTGCTAATAAAATAGATATTGATATCAGTTAATTTGAAGCAAACTCTGACACCATATATCCCCACTGTTTCTGGTGCTCAGCAGTGACTCCTGTCAGGTGGCTGGTGCTAGAAATGCTCTGCTCCTTCTTAGTTTTTATATGTGAGATCAAGATATTAAATCCACAGAAAGATAATATGCTACAATTATTAAAACATCTAAAAATGCAACTGTATCTATTGAACCAATCCCTTACGTGAAACATAATGAAAACTAAGATTTATTTTCTTTTTAATCCATGGATATCACATTTTGTGGCTAATGTTCCATCAGATTCTAGCATGCACCCTGCTGATTTCTCAGTATGCTTAAATTTATCTGCATCACTCCACCTATTGATAATATCTGTCCACACACAGCCTTCAATATGCCCAGCTAACATAGTGGGTTGTTAATGCTTAGTCTGGGTTTTTACCATACCATTGTAACATTTTTCCTTATATTTCTTCTCCAGATCAATGACGTGGTGTTCTGTTCTGGCCAAATTGCTTTGGTACCCTGTAAAATGGAGTTGGTAAAAGCTGCCACCTACACCCAGACTCGCTTGTCCTTCAGCCATATGAAGAAGGTTCTGGAAGCTGTGATTGGCAGCTTGACTCTGGCTCATGTTGTCCAGGCCCATTGCTACACTACAAGGCACCAAGACATCCAGATCATCCGTGCCGTCTGGGAGAGCATGCTGAGAGCCACAGAAGGAGAGAAGGTCAGTCACTCTGGAGTGAGATTTTTATTTTTAAAATTTATGCCAGAGCAATGTCTGACTGTTTTATCATGGATGCAGAGGAAATATTGATCATACTTATAAAATGTTACACCCACATAAGATGAACACATGTTTAATGGATTACAAGACAGTGGGATCCATGCATCAATGAATAAGTAAAAGAAGAGAAACTTGATTTGGTATCCAAGTTTTTCAGAGAGGCCTTTCAGAATTGTGGTTTATAGTTGTGAAATAAGGCAAGATTTCTCGCCCCTCTTTGCCCCCTTGAGACCCAAGCCGCTGCTACTGATATTTACCAGTGAGTGCACTCATGAAAAGTTGATGATGTGGGAAACGCTGGTGTCTTTGATAATGTGGAGCTTGGCACAGAAGCAGATGTCTTCCTCAGAGCCTCCCTAATCCTTTGCCCCCACACACCATTTTGGAGCTCCGTTCAACTCTCAGAGCAGCTTATCTCCCTCCTTACCCCTCTTTCCTGCCACCTCCCTCCATCCTTCCCTTCATTCTACCGCCAAGGCTTACAACGCCGCTCCATACATCTAATAGGGGCTCCAGTCTCCCTTGGCAGCCCTTCTCCTCCCACAGTAATCTCTCTAGCCATGGGAATAGGGCCTTAGGGAGAAATGCAGGAGCCCACCTCCAACATGTGGCTTGGTGGAGTGGCGAACACTGTTAAAGAGTGGATAGAGAATGTCAACATCATGTCAGTTAACAGTATTTAGTAGTATACCAGAATATAAAATTCCAAATATTATTTAAATCCTGCAGTCGTATATATAAAACTAGAAATTTCTGAATTCTAAAATATAAACATGTCATATAGATAAGTCTAGTATAGTGATTAGGTTAGTGTTGTTCTGCTTGTCCTTGTAACTCACATTGGAATAGAATTTTAAAGCATTGACAGTGTAGTGGAAATTTGAAGTACTGAGTGAGTCATTCACATAATAACAGGGCTAACTGAGGACAAAGCTTTAGGGGGCAACCGGACTAGGTTCATATCAGAGGTCACTGAAGATGTACAACTCCAGCCATCTGGTCTCCTTCCAAGCAATGTGTCAGAACAATGAAAATATTCATTCAACTTACCTGGGATTGCTACCAGGAGACCACATTTTAATTTCAACTGACTCCAAATTAAACAACAGTACTTGACAGATCAGGGTGCCTCACCTATAAGCAGGGTGCTGGGTTACTAGCCTAACTCTGTGCTCTATCACCTTTTGTCTTTGGTCTAGCTTTTGACATGTCATCTTCCCTTGACCCCTACACTTTGCTCTCTGTGCTGTAGATTTATAACACACAGCAGAAGAAATACAGGGAACACACGAAAGAACAAAGACAAGTGCTTAAATTATGAGTAGCTATAAGTTAGTGACTTATTAAACCAAATTTATAAAGCCTTTTCAAAACAAAGCTCAAAATAGTTTTAGGGGAAAAGGATACAGATGATATGTAAATATATGCATCTCACTAGCAAAAAAAATAATAACAACATGCTGTGTGAGGTTAAAAACTGTTAAGATATTACACTTAAAAAATAGTTAGAAAAACATGTGTTGGATTATGTGGTCTTTTATATGCAAAGATATAAAGGCCCAGCAGACCTGTGAAGTGCAATTTTATAATATTAAGAAACACCAGTGCCTAGTGTGTTTGTGAAGCTAAAGGGCCATGTTGTTGTTGTGCGTTGATAATTTCTCTAATCAGGTGGATGAAGAAGCTTGCAGGGTTAATTGGGAGCATACTGGAGTCGCTACAAGTGTGAAATTGTATTTACGGTGCATTAAACCACAAAGAGCCTGTTTGTCTGTGTGCATGTGTGTGCAGAAGGGTTGATGAACAGGGAGATGTTGATGTGATAAGTCAATAAATGTTAAACAGACATCCCTTTGTTTAGCAGCAATAGCTTCTGAAAGCATGGCAGCTTTCAATTGTTGTTGTTTTTCTCTTTTTTTGTCTATTAAGGTTTAAATGGAACTTTATTTGCACATGCACAAACGTCGAGTTATTTTGCAAAAGACGAGACGTTCTTAAAGAAATGTTTGGTTTTGAAATTTGGCAATAAAACGCTGAATTTGCAGTGTACAAAGTTTCTTTTTTGTACACCACAGTAAACATGCTTACTACGGGAGATTTAAGGAACTGTGGCCTCTGCTGTGATTTTGAAATACCCTCATATTCTTCCACTTTTCGCCTCACTGACATGGCCCTGTGTGTTTCATTTACAAAAACAGTCTGATGAGCTTCAGAGTGGAATCTTGAGAAAAGAAGAGTGAATGAGGGAGTGAATGGGAAGGGATATTATAGCAGACTGACAGCACTACAGTAAGTGCTGAGGCATAGAACCACATGCTGAAGGCATCCTGCTGGGCAGGAAATGTAGGGGAACTGGCTAAGCAGAGCAAGTCCCATCAGCTCCCTGCTGTTCCCCGCCTTTACACCACTTCCTTATTACCGTGTTTACCGTTCGGCTTTCACGCCTCTTGGCCCTTCAACCCTGCACACGCTCCAGGCACATGGACGTGAGTTAGAGGGAGGAAAGTGGGGAGAAAGAAAACAAACATAAGGAGAAGCAGGTCACACCCCATCAGTGTGGAGAGCTGAGCGCAGCAGATTCAGACTATATGCTTTTACCTGCTGCCTACAGAGAGAGCACAGGGGGAGTGTTTGCCTGCCCTGGAAATGAATTGGCATGAAGTAATGAGCGTGCTAAGTGGCTTGCGTATAGCAGAATTGAACCATCTACACGCAGCCACCTGTCAGCCTGCCCCACTTGCCTCTCCAGCACTCAGCTCCACCATATATCAAATTAGATTTTTTATTAGTTTAATGTCATTAATAACCTCTCCCCAGGTAGACGTGAGTTCTTCCCCTCTCAGTCCACTGCAAGAGAAGCATGATCCGCATCCACAGATCATACACACAAATGCAGAAACATACACAATTTTGCGATTTAAACACATTTACAGAACCGCTGAATAAACATCCCATGAATTCTAACATTGTGGTACATCGATTACAAAAAGGCAAAATGAAGTAGATGTAACATTAACAGACAGCTCTAACAGAAAGTCAGCAACTCTGCTGCGACAATAATGTCCTGCCAGAGGCTAGAGCACTGCGCTGAAGTCCCTCCGATCTCCTTGTAGACAGTCGGTGGGGTATAGCATCTTAGCATTCAAGGCCCCGCAGGGTGGCCTTTAAGCCTGGCTGAGCAAGACCCCTCTGTCCTGTCATTCTTCTCTTCAGTTTCAGCTCTCAGTCCTATGTTCAATCACTATTGACAAGTGGAGAACCAGTTCCCTCTAGGAAAATACCTAGCCTGAGCCAGAAGTGCTAATATAACATTTATCAAAGCATAGGACACGTATGTGTGCTGTCACTTTGTCTGACATGCTAAGAGGCTTGAGATCACATGGTAATTGTTCTGCTTCTCCTTCTGAGATTGTTATTGTTGATCACTGCAAGCTAGCGCTCTTCAAAATCAGTAAAGAGTAGCGAAATCTTAACCTAACCTCTTTACACACACTCATTGTGGACAGCTGCATTTTTCATGTTTTTTTTCTTCTTTTTCTAACTCTCCAAGTCAAGAGGTTAGCTGTTGATACACAATTAAGCATTTGCTGAAGTTTAATCTGAAGGTAAGTGCTGCTTCAGTGAATGTGGCGGTTTGGGTCATGACAGGTTTGTCTGCTGAAGGGACAAAGAGGCCGCCATGTGGCTTGTCAATGATTTCTTCTTTTTGTGAGTGAATATCAAAATAAAATGTAAGTAACCTGTTATTATTCTGCACTTACGAAGTGGGGTGTAAGTGGATGAAAATTGATCCAGCAAATTGAAAGGGGGGGGGGTTAAGTGTTTTTGCCCTATCGACTCTGACTGAAATGACGGTTATATAAAACACTCATTTCTCTCCCATTAGCAGATGAAGCCACAGCCAAGTATTATTAGAGGGCCACATTGTAGCACTGCTCCAAGACATTTTGTTAGTGCTAATGGCCCTCAGTCCAGAGGAGGGGAAAAAAGGAGAAATTTTGGCCCTGTAGTTAAATTGGAGGCCATTTCTCTCTAAATGCGTGCGGTGAAACTGCCGTCACATGTTGTGGATGATCTTCTTAGAAAGGTGAGAAGTCATTTTGATAGGACCTGCCATGTCAGTGCATGAAGCTCAAATGAATGCATTTATGTGTTTTATTCATGGTGGCTGCAAGCACGATGGATTCTTTCTGAATTGTTTGTACACTATCATTACCAAGGGTCACCTCCCAGTCTCACATTAATTGATAGTCTGTCAGTCTTTCAAGTAAAAAGCCTGTCCTACTGCCGTGTGGTAGCATTTGGGATAATGCTGATGGAGTAGTGTTTTTGTTCCGAAGACGCAGCGTGAAACTCAGCAGGAGGGCCATACATTTGATTGTAGTGCGTAACACAACATAGTATATAATTTGCCACCCAATTCATTTCAGTACCATCTGTCTACATTGCAGGACTTGTTGTGGGACTCTGCGATCAGACGTGTGCCGTTATTGGTCATTGTGGTACCTGCCTTGCCCAAGGGTGCAGCCGTTGAGCTTCATGCAACTGCAGTTCGTGACGATCCCACCCAAAGGACTTCCTGTCACGTGACTACAAAGATAGCCTGTGGATCTATAGAGTGTTACACTCTACTGTCTGCTGACAGCCATAGTGCTTCGCTTTCACTTTTCCTGGCTGTCCATGGTGATAACTTGGAGGCCACTGATGTAAAGCATGTAACAGAAGAAGTTGGCACTGCATTCAGGAAAGCCACAAAGAAGATGGATGCTAAGCTGGTGCCACAGTGTGCTAGGGTGTTCTTCAAGTGCAGCCACTCACTGGCACAGCAGATTGTTAAAGGTATGTCACGGGCTTCACTTGTAACATTACACACACACACATACATGCATTTAAAGTGATCCAATATTTGCGCCCATTAAGAGGATTTATCCTAAATAGGCTGCTTTGTTAGAAGGAACACGTGTGAGATATACTGCTCTTCTGAGTTAAGCTGCACATCACTGTATTAATGAAAACAAAGTGACTCGCTGTCTCTCTCTGCGCTCTTGTTTCAAAGAAAGTTTGAGCTGACACTGGTTAAGTCAACATAAAGTATTGAAGGAAACAGTCTCTCCTGAGGATCTCAACTCCTTCCTGTGTTTAATTATTATAACTCATTTGTTGTGTCTGCACTGTGTACAGTAACCCAAGCAGCTGGCAGTCTTTTGTCATCATTACACTTTCATACGCCGCCATATCGTCGTCCCAGGATTCTAGGTTCTTGTCAAGACAAACGTGGAGCGGTATTTGTTTTATCCTGAGAGATGTTCTCTCGGAGGGAAAAAGGGCGATGAGCACATCGATCACATAGGCTCAGTTGTCAAGTCATCTCTGAAGCAGTTAATTAACATTTTTGAGTTTGTGCCAAACCAGCCATCTTACTGTCACTTTTAGCTTTGACATAACTCATCACTTTGAGGATGTGAAATTACAGTTACCAGATATGAATGAGAAAAAGGTTGCTCTGTTGAGAATACGTCTTGATATATGTGTGCCAGCCAAGCAGAGCTGTTTGTTTTTTTACCTAATTATATAATTGCTACTGAACATTGTTTCATGATATACAACTCTTTCCATTTGTTTCTTGTGTCATCCACAACAAAAGGAAAAGCTTGTTTTTCCAGATTTTGTTGTTTTAATAGAAACTGTTAGCCGTGTTACCGGGTCATTTGTGAACTGGAGCAAGCTCAACCTAGATATTTACCCTTGACATGTTTGTTTCTTTGATTATGGACCGCACACACTGCTTTCCTCAAACCATTTACTGACTCATCATTGAGGTAGAATTTGCTCCCGTACAGCACATGCACAACTAAGCCCTGGAAGCTTACCCGTGGGCTTTTTTATGGGTCACAGCCTGTGCTCATTGGGTGATGAATCCAAAAAGTCAAAGGAGGAAAAGTAACACCTCTGGCGCAAGCAGTCACAGTGCTGCAACTGCCGCTGACAGCGGGCAGACAGACACCACTGGAGCAAAATGTGACTGCACACCCCCTCCTTTCTTTGGTTGCGTTAGGATTCACAGTTGATAGACATGACATATGGTTCGAATGAAACCTTTAAACATCTTGTCTCAACTTGTTACTTACGATGGAAAGGTTCCTTCAAAGATAGAACCTCATAACTCAAGAAAATAAATCTTTTTTTTTTTGATGGACCTAAATAGTCTTATTTTACAATAAAAGAAAAATATATATAATTAGAAACAAATTCGTTATTTTGCATAATGAGTAACAGAAATTGAATAAAATAAAATGTAGGTAATTTAACGATGTAAGCCTCAGCAGAACTGACAAGAGCTACAGCTGGGCGCGGTAATTCTCTGTGGGTTCATTTTTACAAGAAAACTTTCACATTACAAGAAGTCATGTGGTTTGGCGTTAGCATAGAAAGATTGCTAAAGAGAGGTGTGCAAGCCTTGTGCTCCTCCGGTTCCTCGGCTTCTCTCTTTATTCTCTTCGGACTAAATAAACAATTTTCATGAGCCAACACTTGCTAATTACCACCTCGTTTACCGGTTAATTTGACCAGTTTGGAAGTCAGTGTAGCACAACTAAAAACCACTGGCTCTGGGCCTTAGCCACGGCTTAAAAGCCCCACAACCCCAGCAGGCATTATCCATTCCACACAGGAAGACCCCTTTTCTTTCCTCCCCACCACAGCCTTCACTGACACCCCTCCTTCTATTCACTTAGGCTTACAATATTTATGTATTAATCGCTTCAAACAAAATGGCTGTTAATGTTTAGCATAAAAGGGTGTTGTGGGCATTAGTAATGTTTTGGTTTTGAAAACAGCCTTTTCAGCTCCCTGTGTGTTTGCCGTGAAGCAGAATAATGACTGGTCCTCTTGGGTAGATGGTTTAGTCTCATCTTATGCTAATTTGATGGCTTTTTGAATCTTACAGCTTCTGTCCACTGAGCCTCACAATGAGGCTCCCCATGTAGCCCCCAAAAGGGGGGCGGGGGGCTAAGAGACCAGGGGAAGGGGATTGGGTATATGATGGGAAGTACTCATCGGACTTTGCGTGAATTTTACAGAAGCTTTTATAGGGACAGGAGGAAAGAGGCACTCTCTCTTTGCTCACTTTTTATCTAAAAAGACCAAAAAAAAAATCCCCACAAAAAATTGCGTGGTCATTCATGTCACCTTCACCCCCCTCCTGCACTTCCATCCATGCATATCTGTGCACACAGACACTGAAAGTGACTCTCAAAGAGAGAGCACAATTATTTCCTATCCATTGGTACAAAGATTAAAACATCCTGACATAAAACAGGCTTAGCGCACAAGGTGTGATGAAGGGTATGTTTCTTCTCTTAATAAAACCATCCCCTGTCTGTGATCGCCATAGCTCATTCAGTTGTCAGCTTGCCATCTCTAGAGGATCCCGCTTCCCAGGGTGTGCCACATGCTCTGATAACACATATTTAGGCTTTTAATGCCCCCCCACACAAAAGGCCTATGTTCAGTGGGGGCATTTTAAGCTGTAGTGCATATTAGCTAATTAGGGTGTGTGGGCTCTTTGTAAGGATGTCTGACATGCTGTGTGTGTTTCAAATGAAAGAGAATGGGGATTATTAAATAGTGCAGAACTACTCTTGTAACCTCTGTGTCCTGATTTCTCTTTTTAGAAGTTCATACAGATGTCACAGAGTACTATATAGTTCTAGTAGATGTTATTAAAAGAGCACTAGTTTGTTTTTGACCACTCAGGTTGAAGGTAAATCATCAGGAATTTATTTTTGCCAAATATAATTGCTAATGTAACATAAGTAAGGTCTGTGATGCTACACTTACGGCAGCGTGTTTCCCAGATGTTTAATTCTACGACCTTGCTGGATTGTAGTGACCACACCCAAGACTCATCCGACGTGCTGCTAAATCAGAAGAAATAATGCAGGACAGTCAACCATGCGACAGGAACACTTGTGATCAATTAGTGCACAGAGCAGATGAGGGAAGGACCAAAATCCCAGCTGGCTACTGCTACATAGACAGGCTGTCATCAAGAACAGCCTCTGAGACACTCAAAGAATTCTCACATGTCCACTGTTCATCTGTAGCCACACACAAACGCACGCGCACACACACATACACATGCTCTAACAACATGTCTCAGCTCCAGCGAAGCTGAGTGACAGCCCCAACACAGTTTCCTAATATCCCCACTCAACAAGAGTAAAGGATGCAGTCCACTAGATACTCCCAACAAGCTGCTCAATTGTCCAAAAGGGCAAATTGAGACCCCTTTAGCCCCCTGTAGGCCGCATGTGTCTGTGTATGTGTTTGGTCATATGTGTCTCAAAATTTGGGAGGGGTAGCCTAGAGATCAGTCCTTGCTTGACCATATGCTTGCACTGCAGGAAGGTGAATGAAGTGGGGGTGGGCAGCTGCAATCTGCCAAGTATTTAAGAATGCCAATAATTTGTAAATGGGCCGTGTTCCCTGGTCGAAGGGTAAATGTAGCCTCTGTCCTGGGACACCCCCAGTGGGGCATCTACATGAGAACATAATGTTCAACTCCTGCGAAAGTTTTAATGAAACTAATGCTTTTCTTGTCCTCACCCTTTTACCCACCTCCCCAAATCTACTTTTCAGGACTTGAGGAAACTTTAAGAAGCTCAGTAGCAGAGTCCAGTCCATCCATAGCACTGGTTCCAGTCCTGGACTTGCCTGACTCCCAGATCTTCCACCTGTCCTGCTGGCTCAGTTTATAGAATCTCAGCCAGAGTCAACAGCCAGACTGAAGCCATACACAGCTCTGGAATTTAGTGGAGCTTTTCTGGAGGAAGACACTGACAGACTAACACCTAATGACTTACAACAGGACATCAGTGAATGTGGAAAAAGAAAAACGGCGTAACTGCTCATTAATGTTTGACTGTTTTTTTTGTTTTACAGCTCGTTGTTGAAAAGCAAAGCCGTATGCGCCTGCAAGTGGTTTTAACAGTGTGTGGTTTTGAGGATGTTTTTAGTCCACTTCAGACCCCAGAATGAAGGCCGGTAATCCCCTTTGTCCTCCACTGGAGACATAGACTGCAACAGCTGTTATTCTACCTCTGAGACAAAGCGTATGGAACTTCCACAACCTAAAGCTGCGTGCCAAACAACAAGAGACTGGAGTTTGCAAAAGGAGACACTGGTAGTGTCTCATTCCATGTAGCGATAAACTGTATCCTCTGATATGTCATTGCTTCTGGTAGAATTTCTTTAAGCACGCTAGCTAACAGCCCTCATAAAGGCCACAGCTGAAACCATCTGCTCCACTGCAAACCTATAGATTTACTGTGCGACTGGCTTGTGGCTGTTTTAAGTGCATTAGAATGAGGTGAGAGTTTTTCTCTGTCTCTCGTGCTCTGTGAGATTCAAGGTGTGTTATTATTGTGTAATAGGCAATCAGCACCAAGCACCTGAAAAGATTAGGCCTCTTTATGTTTTCTATTGATTCTAAGGCTGCCTGGTTAATAGGAGAAAGACGCTACCACACACAGCTGCAGGGCATGTGTGTGTCCTGTGAACGTAAAAGTGTGTGTATTTGGGGTGCAGGGGGTTGTCAGTGGACACAGTGTGACAATGCGCAAAGAAAATAACACCATTAACCATTGCTCCTGGAGCTTTTCTTTTCTCAAAGATCATGAACTGTATTGATAATTTGAGTTGGAATACATCTTCACTCCAGCTATTGTCTTCATCGCACATGTGATGGCGGTGGAGTTGAGTGGGCTTATCGATCTTCACCCAACCCACCACGGCGCTGTTTTGATTGTTGTTATCAAAAATTGAACAACAGAGGTGGCCAATAGAGCCTGAAGAATTTTATTGAAGGTTGAAAAAACACAAACAAGCAATTATTCATGAGAGCGAGCCAATCCCCCATAAATACAGAGCGTTTAACTTTCACCTGGTTTTTAAAGGGCCCAACGTCAGGGAATTTTTTTACCTGTCAAATGTGTATCAGTGTTGGGGGTTTTTTGTACGCTGATTTTTGTGAGTCAAGTAAATAGCTGTAAATGTCATCCACAAATTTTTGACTGTATTTTAATGTTGTCCATAAATCTTTAAATATACAAATCTGAATAAAACAGAGCCAAAGAAGTCTTTCCTATGTCATTTTCCTTTTTTTTTTAAATATGTGAATTCCAAGCAACATGCTACCAAATCTGTGCTAAACAAACTTGCATGCTCAGCAGTTTTCTGTTTATTGCTTTACAAAGGATATTGAGAAATGTAATTTTATTGTGCTTTGAATCCTCTTTTTGATTGTGAAACAGCGACAGTACAAGGAATTCCCATGAAACAAACTGTTAAAATTCAAGAGTCAGCTTCTCAGTAAATACAGAGGAGCAGAGCCACTGAAATTCTTTGCACGGCTACAACTTGTCAATCACGCGCCAAGCATTACATTTCGTCTTTCAGTGGGAATGTTCTCACAGAGACACAGACGAAGCGGCAAGTATATCATCACAAGCCAATGCGATGGCCTATGGCAGACGCACTTCTTTGTGTCCTTACCACTGTGGTGCCTCACAAAATGAATACAGACAGGGTGACATTTATTTTTCAAGAGTGTTTTGTCAAATGTACATTTTCTACCAAGCTGACCTGCAACCACTCTACAAACAAACTGGCTGTTGTGGCTAATATTGTCCTTTGTGCGCAGTGTACCAGCCTCGGGCCCTTGTCATTGTGGCCTTGCACATGGACTTTAACTGTGTGTTTCTTCCTCTAGGCAAACCCCGCTGATGTGTTTGACTCTCTTTCCCCATAGCAGTGGGCTACAGAGCCCAGCTCGGGAGCGGCCTCTCTGCATGAGACGCCTCCTCCTCGTATTGTGGTCTGCTTGCCTCAATGACTGTGGTTTTGTTTGTTTTGATGTTTGAATCCTTTTCCTTTCGTAATGCATTGTTTTCGTCCCCTGACGCATTGTGAAAGGATGTCTTTATGGTCACAGCTCTGACTTCATGAAACTTTCCTCATGCTCCTGAACTGGGAAGCTGAGACTTGTTATTAAGTGGTGTTTGCTGCCCTCATGTGGTCAGCGTATAAACTGCAATTTAAACGAGTAAGAGCAACCAGTTTCACTCTTTTCCTATTATATCCTCAGTAAAATTATGTGTGAATTTAGCCAAGCGGGAATACAGACAGAATTTATTTACATTTACATCTTATTTGCAAGATCACTGAAATATTTCTTTCTTTCCACCCACATTCACATCATATGAAGGTACTGAAATGCTGAATCCATATCTAAACAGTACGGAATTGAGTATCGCTCTTTCCATACTTTTGTGTTTTCATTGACTAATTTATTTACGCTCATGCCCAGTCGACAGGTATTTCAATATACAATAGCAGAAAAAGCACTTGTGAAAGTAATGCGCTTACAACTGGTTCACTCTGGTCATTGTAATAATGAGCCAGCCTGAAAATATCAAACAACATACCAAAGCTGTAACACTAGAACCCCTGAACAGGATGCAGTTAATAACAATCTAGTTACGCCTGTCAGTAAGGCTATGCCTGTTGATTATATTCATTCGTGTCTTAAATATGTCATATTTATCAGTTCTTTGTTAGATAAACAAAATACTAGAAGACTGAAGATGAATGTTAGATCCATAATTTGTTTGAGACACTGTTATCATAGTTGTACACCACCACAGTAGATTTTAAATTGAAGAATATGTCACTGAAGCACAGGATTCCAGCTTTAATTCAATATTTGTTTGTTTGCAAAGATTATATTAACTATTTAGGAATTTAAGAAATTGATTTTAGTGGCTCAGAAATAATTGGACAATTAACTGACAAGCAGTTTCATGGCTAGGCAAGGCCTGTTCTCTTGTTATTCCATGGTAAATCAAGCAGTTATAATATAAATAAAGCAGAAATATTGACTTTGTATTTCATAATTAACACTGTAATTTTAAATATGAGACCCAGAGAGATTCCAGTTCAAGTAAGGGAGGCCATAATTAGGCTGAAAAAGTATTAATAACTAAACAAACTTTAGCCATGGCCAAATAAAATAAAGCAGCTGAGACATACCAAACAACCAGAAAGAATAAATTATTATTATTATTATTATTATTATTATTATTATTATTATTATTATTGACAACACTCAAGCCACGAGTTGTACTCGCAATCTTCGGACTGACTGATAGGAACGAAAAATCTTTGTTTCCTACGGTATGTTTTAAGGAGTGAACATGCGTCCTTGCGCTTTTCAGATCTTTAGCAGGAAGGCTAAGACGCTAAAAAATAAATAAGTAAATGCTTTTGTCTTTGGGGCTTCAGACGTCTATATGGAGTACTGTTGATTTACGCTTTTACACAGCTCAGTTGTTAGTTTGTGTACATGTCCCTGCTGTTGGCGTCTTTTGCGAAATTTGACGTTGTTGGTATATTTTCAATTTCAAACACACAGGAAAGTGTCACGCATTAGTCATGTCACATGTAAAACAGTGTTCCAGTTATTTGTAATTTTGATTCTTTTTAGTTTGAGTTTGCCACATGTATTGATTGACTGATCTAGTTTGAGTTTATTCATCATTCTCTATTTTAATCTTTAGGTACAGTGAGACCAATGCATTGGTGTGTCCTGTATGTCCAAAAGCTTTTTCATTGCCATACACACTGAAGCAACATCATCTCATCCAATCAGACACCCCTTCATCTGTAAAGTCTGGAGAGGGCTTTTACACAGGCCTGACTGTGACAAGACTGTGGCATTAGCAGTCATATATGGGGCCTCCTCCGGCTGTCCGAAAAATATGCCTCATGCAAATGATTGCCCAGTGACTCAGGGAAACATTTCTAATGTTGTGGGTCGAGTACTGTGGGAGCAGGCTGATTGTCCAAATGTGGACATCTGCAAGCACTACCCATAATGACTGCTTAATAACCTTTGGATTAACTTACACACTCATAACAGACCAAAACAGTTAGAAAGAGGCAGTGAGTCAACTCAGATCTTTCCTGCAATGGCAAATATGAGAATGCACTTGGGACTGCAAAATAACTTTGAAACACCAATGTCATAAATGTCTCAAACCTTCTGCTCACTATCCAAATTACAGACATTTTCTTATTTATACTTGAAAGAAATCCTTCTTTATAAGCCTTTATAACTTATTATTAAAACTATAACCTAATAATAATTTATATCAACAAGAGCAGCAGTACATAAAACACGAAGGCTTGAAACGATTCTGCTGTGGGATCTGTAGAAGATCATTTCAGCTGGAAGTTAATTCGATACGCCATCACAAAATTCATAGGAGTCAAAAAGAATTAGAAAGTCTTCACCCTGTGCGAAACAGCAATGCTGTGAAAATACCCAATTCAGAAACAATAAAACATTTAATTGAACCCAGTAATGCAGACTCAATTTCCCAGATTATGACTGTGAAACCAGAAGGGTGCAGTGAGTTTTGCAGCGATTACAATGGCTCTCTCCCTCAGGATGTTGCCTTAATCACATCAGGGGAAAGGAGCAGAGAGAAACCTGCCGTGCTACCAGCAAGCAGCGAATTAACGCTCTACATCAGTGCTGAATTTGTAGAAAATGTTTTCCTTCTACATCCAAGCTTCAGATAATTCATACAGGACAAAGGCCCTTTGGCTGTGAGATATGTGGAAAGAGATTTCATCAGAAAAGCCACTTGAGGTTCCACTGCCGCACTCATATGTGGTCTAAATACCACACATGGCAATCGCGTGATATCAACTGACCACACTGGCAAGTTAGCGAGTTTAAATACAAAGGTGGGGGCAGATTTCCCAGCTCACAGAACACTGCTGTGATACGTTTAAAGTCTAAAGACAGAGAATGACACAAATGTTAACACAGATGTGTAATATTAATAAGGTGAACCTGTGAGAAAGGTTTCCAGAGTGAATGTGAAAAAGAAATAAAGTCCTAAATCAACACAAAACCCAGGTGGTGTACAGCACAACTGCTTCCACTATTTTAAGTGTTTTCCGAGTGCCTCTAAATTACAAAGGCATGAGATAGTGCACGCAAGCAGGAAGCCATGTCATTGTCCTATATGTGGAAAAGCATGCAGACAAGCTTCTCATCTGAATACTCACAAAAGAACTCACTGAAAGGGAACTCAACCAAGCCCCTCAACCAGCAGGAGAACATCAGAAAACTGAAAGTGACACATGAAAAGCATTTTTTCTCAGGAATCACTGTTCATATGCCATCACAGAAAAAGTCTGCAAACACCCATGATACACTATCAGATTTTGAAGTTGTCCGTAATGGAATGAATGAAGTATCCTGCAGCACACGTGCAAAATCCATCATTAAAGTAAGTAGCCTTGTTAAGACTAACTCAGAAGGTGTTGTGTCATGTAAAAAAAAGAGAAGCTTCAATTATGCAGAATATGCTCTACAAACTTGGTCACTCATTGTGGGATTAGGTCATACAGATGTGTTTTATTTAGCAAAATATTCCCACAGAAGGGTAACCTGATACCTCATGAGCAAACATGTAGGCACTGCAACGAAATTCCAAATGGTATCCAAAGTGAAATGAAAAATGCCAGCCTACGTCCAGATAAGTGTATTCAAACATGTATTCATTGTACAGATTTGGATGCCAAATCAAACCAAAGTCACTGGATGCTAGTACTTGTTACAAGTCATTTGCTAATAAAGAGGTAGTTCAGGGCTTGGAGGCCGTGGATGCTGATTGGCTGGCAGATCAAGAGGTAGCCTTGAACGAAGGGTAACGAATCGGGGAAAAAGCAAAGAGAGGCTACATACAATTTTAGCAATTTATTTCCCACTGAACTAGTTGTTGAAGTAGAGAATCAAAAATGCCAACTCAAGTGTTAAGCATGAGAATAATGACTAAAGGAGTTAGAACTGTTTCAGGTAGCGACAAGCTGCTTAGTGATGAATTGGTAAATCCAGTGGCTGAGAATCAGATCCAACAAGAAAATGATTGGTGTGCACCACTCAGTGTTTCTGAATGAGACAGGTGCACTGCAAGTTTTCTAAATGAAAAGGATCTTAAGCAGCACATTTGTTCAAATAATATTCAAATGACAGACCATCATTGTGGCATTTGCTTCAAAAAGTTTGTGTCTCTTTCTAAATTCGCAAAGCATTATGCTGTCCACACAGGACAGAGGCCACTTAGGTGTGGCATTTGTGGTCTTCCTGTCCCCCTCCTGCTTGGCAGCACTTTATTCAACATCCTTTGATAAAAATATCTTCTTTGCGCATGCACATTCACTTGAAAATAGTCTATTTTGTTACGTGTTCCATCCCTTTTTTTAACCAATTATTTTTTCTTGCGTTGTCGCCAAAATAAAAAGCTGATTTAATTTTCCCAGCAGTTTCCACACGCAACAAATACGAAACCAGGGGGAACGGAACGGATTGCAAGCTTTCGTAATTAGGGGACGGTTTGAGGGACGTACCTTTTCAGGAAGTTAGTCGCACGCAGCGCGTTTGATTGTGGAGGTACATAACCAGCAGTCCGACGGCAGTTGCATTCATGCTGAAATAATAATAATAATAAAAAAAAGGTTAGTGAGCTAAATTCTGGTAACGTTATACCACTGAACTGGAGTTAATATTGAACGATTAACGAGTCAGTTGTGTCTAAATGCTACTAATTAGCTATATCACCTCATTGAGAATGCTAACAGTTACTAATGTCATGTTACTACTTTCTGAACTCGTAACTCTTAATTTGATGTTAATTAAAGTACTGGAAAGTCAGTTAGTTCGTGGTTATGAAACCTCCTAGTTTACTTTTTAACCGAGATTGTGAACTTTCTCAACAGTAAATTACCCTGTATTAGTCCAGCTATCGTATTTTCACAAAGGCTCAAGTTGAAAACAGATACTTGTATCAGTCGATACTTTAAAACAAACGATTTCTGCGCTTTTTCTTCTTTTTCTCACAGTCGTCATTTTATTATGGCCACCATGGAGAAAGAAACCCCTGCTAAAAAGGCTGCTACTCCGTCTGTATCCCAGATAAATGCGGAATATGTCACGCAGGTAATCACAGCATTTATTTTCTGCATATGTGGTTCAGTACTGTGTTGTGAAGTTTTTCCATGATGCTGGTATGCTGAAGATAAAAAAAAAAGTGTCCTGATTTTCTTTTGTTGCATTCTTTGTCATGCTAAAAACATAAAGACAGCTTTGCATGGAGATAGGATAGGCCAAATGGCTGTAACTATGGCATATGTTCAATTAACAATTTGTTGCATCTTCCATGTTTATATTTAATACTATGTGTGATTTTTCACATTTCCCCTTTTCAGTTGTCTAACAAATATTGGGCGCCTCATGCAAAGAATAAACTACCTTTTGACCCTAAGGTGAGTTATTTGCGCTTTTGCAATTTAGAGGTGTTGGTATAACTTTTATTAGTGATAACCAGTCACCAGGGCTTTTGGCAAACAGTGTAACATTCAGTGATGAAAATTGCCACAGTTTGTGCTCCATTATAATGCAGTGCTTATAATTTGGATCAAGTTCAAACAAAAATAAAGTAAAGGTTGATATTGGAACTGCTTATTGGCCTAATTGTTATTTTAATCCTTGGTATCAGCCCAGAGTGGGAGCACTGTAAAGATTTGGTCATGTATCTAATAGAGATTAATTTATCATTTATCATATAGTTTCAGATAGTAAGTCAAGTCAGCAAACTACCAAGCGCATGTTTGTTAACGCTAAATTTCTGTGC